CAGAGCACAAACATAACTTGAAATGCTCACCTTCGGTTTAGCTCGACTCCCCCAGGCCGTTCACCAGTGGCCCTTCAAGTCATTGCAGGCGGTGAGAAACCCTGGGGGTGGGCACTTGAGATAGCCACTCGGGAAGCCAGCACCCCTCTTGGGGTCCCTGGGTTTGAGTCCCAACTCTGTTTCTGCTTTCCGCTTCCTGCTCACGTACCACCTGGGAGGCAGCAGGTAAGGCCCGAGTAGGGTCCCTGGCACCCCGTTGGTGGCCTGCCCCAGCCCCCAGCATTTGAGGAGCGAACCTGTGCATGGGAGCTATTCTTGCTCTCTTCCCCATTCCTGCCTTTCAAGTAAAATAAATAAACCTACTTCTTGAAGAAGGTGAATGGGGTATCAGAAGCATTTGTGCCAGGGCAGACTGTTCTTTCCTAGCTGAGGGGACAGTGCTGTGTTCCTGTGTGACCCGCAGCCCCCAAGGGCTGGGGAGGGATGGTTATTGTTTCCAGAGGAGATGTCCTACCCCCAGCATCCTCACGGCATCCAGAGCAGATGCTGTATCTTCAGCATCCTCGAGGGGGCGGTCTGCTGCTTGTTCAGGTACTGTGAGTTGCACAAAAGGACGCATGTTGGGGGTCAGCAGACCGTTACTGTCAGGTGAGAACAGAGGAGGACTGAGTCTCTCTGGGCAGTGAGCGATGCTTTCTAGAAGAGCTGGCTCCCAAGTAGGAATGTCAGTCGGGAAAAAGCCTGTTCCAAGCGAAGCTGTAAATGTCAGACAGCACAGAGGGTATTTGCAGAACAGCTGATGGGCCAAAGAGCTGGAGAGCCCGTGGGGCAGGGGATGCTGACTGCTCTACAAGCACTGTGGTGCTCTGAGCAAGACAGAGTAGTTGAGGTGAGTGTCTTGCTTCCCTCAGCCCCAAGCGTGCTCCGAGCCAGGCACCGTCAGCATGAGTGAGTGCGTCTGCGGCTCAGGATGATGAGTGAACCCGTGCTGAATGCCTCGGGCTTAGAACCGTGTCGTGTCGTCCTTGTGTGTTCAGTGTCCATCTCGGAATGTTCCTGTCAGCAAACACCTGTGGGGATGTATTATGGGTGAGTGTGTGCTCAGAACGCGCTTTTTCTTGTGTAGACACGGGGAACATGGAGGTGCTGCATCTGTACGGAAGCGAGGAGCAGAAGCGCCAGTGGCTGGAACCTCTCCTGCAAGGGAGCATCACGTCCTGCTTCTGCATGACAGGTGAAGGCTCCCCGCCCTAGTCCCCTGGGCCGTCACAGCCAGCTCCTGTCACGTCTGCCCGTGGCCAGAAACACCAATGTGTTAAGCATGGTTGTGACTCTTGGCCTTTGGCAACGTGCAGGGTAGCCTTTTGGCAGGGCATACCTGATGAGCAAGCTGGTGGCTTGCTTTAGCTACAGGAGCAGAGTAAACTTAGTTTTCACAAATTTTTTTATTTGCATTCCTAAAATTGCCAGCTATGAATATTTAAGATCACTTTTGCTGTTATGTAGCAAAGTGTAGATGATTGTGGTAATTTTACGTCAGTATTTACCAAATGTTCAACTTTCCCAAGAGAAGGGGTTTTCAGAATTGTTACACATGTGGCTTAAATTAGAGTCATATGGGAAAATGGAACTAGGACCGTGTTCATGGAAGTGGGTTTGAGGAGAGAAGACGGTGTGGGCGGTGCGGTGGGCGTCCTCGGAGCCATGAGGACATGGCTGAGCACGGCGCTGGCTGGACTCCTCGGCCGCCGCCCTCCAGGCTTCCAGTGCTGCCACATCTTGTCTATAATGTGTGTATTTATGATGACAAAACTGATCCCCACTTAAGTCAGTGAAAGACATCTGTGGAATGCCAGTAAGGAGATGTGTTCCTGACAGAACAGAGTTACAAATAAGCACACAGCCCCCTTCCTGTAAAAGCAGCTCCAGTTGAGGGGATAGGATACCCAGCATGCCTGAAGGGTGGCGTGTCGCCAGGTTGCTGTGTTGGGGCTGGCTGGCCCTGATGAGCCACACAGCAAAGTGGATCTTAAAGGGGACAGTACCATGGAAGGCTTTCTGGGGGCCTTGAATTTGAGCAGGCTCCAAAGAAGGCAGCACCTATGAGTTGGTGCAAGCGTTCTTGCTGGGATGTGTAAGCTAGAAATGGCTTAGGATAGCAAGCAGCCGAGGAGGTGAGGACATCCGGCTTGTCGTGACTTAGAGATTTTCCACTGGGAGGTAGGAAACGCCCTTAACTGAGCCCTGGTGACTGGGAGGAGGGCTGAGTTAGCGGCACCCCAAGGCTACGTGCATGGGAAAGCCAGGAAGACGTTCAGAAGGCTGACTCGGTGGGCCAGATACTGCAGTCTTCCAGTGTGTACAAACTCGGCACTTACTGTTACAGTGTCTGGCTTTTGGCCTGTGGCTAGAAACGCTAAGTCACTCAAGGTCCTTGTTTCAGTGGAGGAGGTAGCCAGGGGCAGAGAGAAAGTGGGAGACAGAGAGCACTCGGAGAGGAAGCAAAGGGAAGGGCCCCTTATAGCCTGCAGGTGGGTGGGGGGATTGGGATTTAGGGCAGCAGGTGGACACCTGGGGTGAATGCCTTGGGGGATCGGTGGAGTGCAAGGTTTGACCCTGAAGGTCACTAAACTTAGGCAAGTGGGCCTTAAGGGGGCTGAGATCTAAAGGACTTAAGGTAGTGGGGTCTGCAGGCCTTCGAGGTGGCGCTGGGTCACTCCTTACACTCAGCACACACAGAGTGTGGGGTGACCAGAGTGGGATGAGGGTAAGGATAGGAAGGAGAGACTGCCAAGAATGCCTCAGAACTCAAGCGCTTACATTCTCTTCTTTAATCCCGTTTTGGACACCAATGGCATCCGTGTAAGCTCGGCCTGTGTCTCCCTGTAGAGCCGGATGTGGCTTCCAGTGACGCCACGAATATTGACTGCAGCATCGAGGCGGACGGCGACAGCTATGTCATTAACGGCAGGAAATGGTGGAGCAGTGGTGAGTTTTCGGAGTGATATTTTCCCTCCATTTAACAGATCTCGTTGCTGGCTGCTGTGCTAGAATGCTAGCGTCATCACTTTAAATTCTGCCTTTTCAAAATTTAGATATAGGTGGAATTTTCACATGCCTTGATTCTGTGATGTTGATTTTTAAGCAGAAGATGTGTCTGTTTTGAAAGAGAACTTTCAAGAGAGCTTTTTGACTTCTATCACTTCTGTCAAAATTCAGTGATTCATGAGGCATGAGTTACAATAATTTACATGTTATTGTTTTAAAAAAGATAAGCTGTATGTGTTATTAGAAATAACTTATTGCGCCTATTCTTATTGCTTGAAAACACTAGTGCTTCTGGGTGGGCATGTGGCACGGTGGTTAAGGCTCTGTTTGGCATCCCCATCCCGTGGGCGCGTGCCTGACTTGTGGCATGGTGGTTAAGGCTCTGTTTGGCATCCCCATCCCGTGGGCGCTTGCCTGACTTGTGGCACGGTGGTTAAGGCTCTGTTTGGCATCCCCATCCCGTGGGCGCTTGCTTGACTTATGGCACGGTGGTTAAGGCTCTGTTTGGCATCCCCATCCCGTGGGCGCGTGTTTGACGAGTCCCGACCCCCCACGGCCTCTCGTCCGGTTTCCTGTTAGTGCAGACCCCAAGAGGAAGCACGTGACAGTCGAACCATGTGGTTCCTGCCACCCAGGGTTCCTGGATCGAGTTCTGGGCTCTCGCCTTTGGCCTGGCCCACGCTGTGGCTGGGAACCAACAGCTGGAAACCTCCTGTCTGTCTTTCAAATAAGTCAAACCTTACAAAAATGCAGTGTTTGAAAAACAAGAAACTTGAGATACAGGGTGATACATTTTTAATTAACTGTCAGCGAAGTATTAAAAAATGGATGGGTTCTCTAAGGAGCTATAAAACCGGCACAGAATAAGACGGCAGTGAGAAGGCCGCTGCCAAACCATGCAGGCTCATTCTAAGTTACCAGGATTACCAGTTGCCAGTAAAACGCGTGGACGCTGGAAGCAAATAGTGAGCTCAGATACTCAGAGGGAATGAAAGGGCCGGAACAACGGATGGAAGTGCTTGTTGGTAACTGCTCTCCTTTCCATGATTTTACAAAAATTACTTGAAAAATCAAGAAATGGGAAAAAGATAGTTTAACTGCATGGTTATTCAAGAATAAAAATTATACAAGGAAATCACGTTAAAATCACGAGCGCCTCTGAACGTTAGCATCTTCATTAAACTTTTAGATGATCTAACTTACGGCGGGGTGTGCTAATTTTTATTTTTGAAAGCTCCCTTTATTTTGAAGTTATAAATGTATAGCAAGCTTCAGTGACAGAGTGGAGTGGCCCAGCGCACCTTCCCCCTCCCCGCTTCTCCCCGCAGAGGTTCCCCTGTTACATGATTCAGGTACAGTTAGCAAAACCAAGAACTTGACCTTGATACAGTGTCTGTCATTTTTATCACCTGTGCGAATTTACACACCTACAGCTGCCATCATGACACCAAACTGTCCCATTGCCGCAGCCCTTCCCCTGTATAGCCCGTGTTTTGATTGCCCTGTGCCTGCTTCTACCTTCCTGCCTCGGCAGGGTTCACTTTGATATTCCCCACCGCTTGGATCACGTTTCCTCTCCTTGCCCTCCTTCCCCTTCTCCCTCCACTGGGTTCTTCTTTTCTATTTTTTTTTTAAAGATTTGTTTTTATTGTTTTTTATTGGAAAGGTGGATATACAGAGAGGAGAGACAGAGAGAGCCTCTTCCGGGTCTCCCACGCAGGTGCAGGGTCCCAAAGTCTTGGGCCGTCCTCGACTGCCTTCCCGGGCCACAGGCAGGGAGCTGGAAGGGAAGTGGGGCTGCTGGGATAGAACCGGCGCCCATATGGGATCCCGGTGCGTGCAAGGATCTTAACCACTTGTGCCAAGTCGCGAGGACAGAGCCAGGCAGGTGCACAGGCTGAGGGCGCTCCATCAGAGGTGTGTGTCCAGGCAGACTCAGCGCCCCCCAGTGGTTAGATGCTGAAGGTGCTGGTGGGCTCCGTAGGCTCCTCCGAGTCGAAGGGAATGTCTTCCACCTGTCGCTGCCGCCTTCTCCAGGACCCGTATTTCTTGGCCACTTTCATGAGGTGGTTTTTGAAAGAGGCCCCCATGAAGACGTAGAGGATCGGGTTGAGGCAGCTGTGGAAGAGCGCGAGGCTCTCTGTGACCTGGATGGCCACATCCATGCGCTTGCTGGCCTCGCAGTCGGTGACCAGGGCGTAGATGATGTCCACGGCCTGGCAGAGCTTGACGATGTTGTAAGGCAGCTGCGTGGCGATGAACACCAGGACCACGGCCAGCACCACTTTGAGGGGTCGGGACTTCTTAATGTCCGGCGTCCTGATGAGCGTCCTGGCCGTGATGAAATAACACACCCCCATGATGAGGAAGGGGACGAGGAATCCAAAGCAGATCTCCAGCAGCCAGATGGAGGCTTTGACTGAGGTCCCCAGGTGATGGGGGAAGATGGGGATGCAGCGGGCCTGGCTGTTGACCGTGTGGAACAGCAGCTGGGGGATGCTCAGCAAGGTGGCAGCCAGCCACACCCAGAGGCAGATGAGCCAGCTCGGCTTGCCCGCCCTGGACGGGCCAGCACCTCTGGTGACCGCCAGGTACCGGTCTACGCTGATACAAGCCAGGAAGTGCATCCCGGACACGAAGTTAACGGTGTACAAGGCCGAGGTCACCTTGCACATGGCTTTCCCCAGCACCCAGCCGTGGACGGCGTTCACCGCCCAGAAAGGCAGAGTAACAAGCAGGAGTAAATCGGCCACGGCCAGGTTCAAGATGTACACGTCGGTTTTGGTCTTCTGCTTCTTGTAAAAGGCGTAAATGGCCACGACGACAGAGTTGCCCGCCAGGCCGGTGATGAAGGTGATGGTGAAGAAGACGGGCAGGAAGATTTTTGCAAACTGCCTGACCTCTTCCTTAATGCAGATCGCCTCGTACAGGCTGTAGTCGTGCGTGCTGTTGAGCTCACTCTCCTCGTAGTAGTAATCCGCGGACTGGTTCTGCTCCCACGCCATGGCTGCACCTGGGCGGCACACTCCTCACGCTGCCTGAGCGGAAACAATGGGGTGGAGGAGTGGGCGGCTTTTCCCTGGGGGCCACGTGAGCCTGCACCTGCCACCCAGTGGGAACCCACAGGGGAGCATGCCCCTGTTTGTTCTTGGAGTCCCTGTGCAGGGTCTGGGGGTGGCAGCAGGACAGCTGACTACGGGGGGGGGGAGAGGTGGAGGCAGTGCTCGGGTCCTTATGATGCCGAAACATTTACAAATGGGAGCATTTAGTCAGACTTCAAGTAAAGACAACAAAAGCTACAGCTTTTCCCCAAGTACGTGATGGTGAAAGAGGTGGCTGGACAGACCAAATGCAAAATCCTTTCAAACATTTCTCTTTGATGCTCATGTTCCTTATGTATAAAGGCAAATAGCCTGAGTGCCTTGCATCAGCACCTGCGCTGCCCGTGCCTGGCCGGCCTCTTACACAGGGCGTCGCCGACTTGCTTCCCAGGCCCGTTACTACTTGCTTAGCACATGCAAACTACCCACGTGTAAACTGTGTCTTCCCCAGCACGCTCCTGGTCGTGCGCCAGCACCGTCTCTGACTTTGGTCTCGTCCTCCTCTCTGAGTTCCAGTCAGATCCTGGGATCCCCATGTGCGCCTGCCGACCTACCTGCTTCTCACCTGGCTGCCCGTGGCACCTTTTGACTAGCCCCGCTGTCTGTCCTTGCTCCCCGCCAGCACTCCGGCATTCCTGCTGTGTGCATTCCTCTTACGAGCCTGTCTACACAGCTAACTGAGGTTTTCTCCCCCAGGAGCCTCTGCTGATCCGACAGCACTGTACACCTGCAGCAGAGGACTGACCCGAAACCCTGGGAACACTGTTTCCTGGATTGTCCCTCACAGCATGAGACTCCCCCAAGTCAGATCCATTTGGTTTGCCTTTGTAATTCAGACGATACCAGCGTGCCTGGCACACGCCAGCTGCCCTGGAAATGCTGGTCAGACTCCCCGGTTGCTGCAGAAGCGCGTCTGTTGTCTCGGTATTAGGTTTCTGGATTGCATTGGCTCCGGCACCCCATAATACTCAGATACACTTGCCAGGATTCACAAGCTTTAAAATGTGTATGATAATGGCTTTCCATGTTCTCATTACCACATTGAATTTTGTTTTGCTTTTTCTCTAGTTTTTTTTTTAACCTTTATTTTTATCCTTTGGGGGAAAGTAAAGCTCAAATTATCTTTCAAATATTCTTATAGATAGTAAAAGTATTTTTTAAGAATGTGGCCATTTTATGGTACACTTTCAAAATGCCATTCTCCTAGTTGTTGACTAATCCTTCTAGAGGGAATACAGCTGAATGAGGGGGCAGCCAGGAGCCCACCGCGCACACCTGCTGCGGGGGTCTTTGAAGGCCGAGTTGCCTTTCACTCTCTTAGGCATTCGTCACTAACACCACATCAACTTTGGCCTTCCTTTCCCTTTCTCCATGGAGCTCTCGAATCTGATAAGTGATAATACGAATCTGATAAGTGATAATACGGCCAATAATGTATTAGGGAGTTAAGTGGGAATGAATCGCACTAAGAATGCGAATTCAAGGTGGAAACGATTTGCAAGATACACAGGAGCAGTTATTCTGCACAAGAACCAAAAATCAGCATTTGCAGAAAAGAGGGCGCAAAGTCTGCTCATCATGAAATTTTGTGGCATGTAACAGGATTTAAAATAAAACTTTGTTCCGACCACATTGAGGTTTTCATTTTAAGCTTAAACTGTAGAGCAGTTTTCAAATAGATCTTTTTCTTGGGCATGCAGACATCTAAGATTTACAGAGGAAATCTCCCTCCCTAGCGGCAAACAGGCTTTATCCGTGGCTGAAACGCGATCCCCTGAGGCAGAAGGAGCGAGAAAAGGAAGAACTGACCTGTCCCGGCGCCGGAGAGCCAGGCTGAAGTGCGGCGACTCCTCCACTCGCGTCTCACACCCTCCTGTGTCTCACACCCAAGAGGGTTTCCTGCAATTTAAGCTTGCAGAAACTAGGGGTGTGTGTGTGTGTGTGTGTGTGTGTGTGTGTCTGTGATGAGAAGTTAATCCTGCAATGAAATCAAACCCAAGTTCTTAAGCATGCCAGCAGATGGATTGTAAAGATTACTAGCTTGTTTCCCAAACCGCCCGCCTTTTCATAGTTCCCACTCCGCGCAGGGGAGGGGCCGGAGTGCCTGGCGCCCAGCAGGACCCGGGCATGCCTCCAAGGAGAGCCTCACCCACGGAGAGTCATCCAGGAGTGGGAGCTCTCCGAGACTGGCATGGCAAACGGCGTTAGCACTTCACGACTTTTTATGCCACTGATGCTTAATATTTACTTAAGCTCTGAGACTCTCCTGCCGGCTTCCCTGTTCACTGTGTGCCTACGCTTTGCCCCCGGCCCCCTCCCCAGGGCCTTCAGCTCCTCTGGCTCCTGGCACACCGGTGTAGCACAGGAGGGGAAATGAGCACAGGCTTGGCTTCAGGGTCTGTTTGCACTGCACGCTACCCCTCATTTGCATGGCAGTTGCTCTGTTTATTTTCTCATGCAAAGCCAGTCTGGTATCCTTCTGCACAAGTTATTTCAGACCCCAGGCCATTTTTGGTGTTTCTCCAAGCAATTAGTCTCCCTCCTGGCTGAGGGACAGGAAGGCAAGTCAGAGGGGTTTCCTGTGGCTTTATTTTCCCTGTGTGTCTGGGACAGCTGCTGTCTGTATCTGCCACTTTTTTTTAAAGGACTTAATTGAAAAGCTGAGTGAGAGAGAAGTGCTTTCTGTCTGCTAGTTGAACCCTAAAAAGCCTGCAGCATTTGGGGACGGACCTGAGGCTGGGAGCAGGGAACTCCATCCCCCATCTCGCACGTGGGGGCTCAGAAACTTGGGTACTGCTTCTTAGGCACTTTGGCAGGGAGCTGGAGCAGAAGCTGAGCAGCTGAGACTCGAGCCAGCATTCCCAAGTGGGATGTGGCTGTCACAGGCAGTGGCTTCACAGGCTATGCGTGGTTCCCACTTGCCCCAGTCCCCTGTGGTGAAGCCAGCTCACCCAGAGGAAAAGTTCCTAGATTGTACTGCTTCCATCTTCGGTGGGGTGAAAACTCCCACTAGCACAGGGCCAGCTAGTGCAGGTGCTGAGAACAGCGTCCTGGCGGTCAGTGCATCCTGGCGGTCAGTGCATCCTGGCGCTCAGTGCATCCTGGCGGTCAGGGCATCCTGGCGCTCAGTGCATCCTGGCGCTCAGTGCATCCTGGCGCTCAGTGCGTCCTGGCGGTCAGTGCGTCCTGGCGGTCAGTGCGTCCTGGCGGTCAGTGCATCCTGGCGGTCAGTGCATCCTGGCGCTCAGTGCAGGCCTCTACACAGCTCTTCCCCAGGAGGCAGCTCCCTGCTGGGCTACCTGATCCATGCCGTCCCTTCCCTGGCCAGCTGGGCCTGGTGACCACAGGGTCCAATCACAGATCATGCATTAGGTGGTGGGCGGCTGACAGGCCCCAGCGAGCTCTGCTCTTGCCTTCCCCCTGCTGTGCTGTGGTACCGGGCTCCTTTTTGCGCCAGGCACGGCCCTGACCACGCCTTTTGTGCTGGCTCCTCTGTTCACCTGGAATGTGCTTCCTCTTCATACTTGGCAGGGCTAAAACTTTCTTCTCCTTCCAAGTCTTGGCACAATTTCCACTTATTCCAGAAACAATCTCTTACTGCTCAGAATAACCCATGCCCAGCAGCGCTGCCCTATCCACCTCACCCATAGCACCTGCTGGGGCCTGTGCAGCCTGTCGTGTTTGTAGTCTGTCTCTAACCCCGGGTTAGAATATAAACACCAGCTTTTGTTGGCTGTGGTCAGTGGAATCTCCCAAGTGCCAACCAAGAACAGCATTTGGCGTATCACAGGTACTTAAGAAATATTTTGAATTAATGAAGATTCATACTGTCCTTTAAAAGATTTGAAAGGTAGAGAAGACGAGAGAGGGAGAGCGATCTTTCAACTTGTTCGTTCCCGAACTGGCTGTGACAGCTGGAGCTGAGCTGATCAGGAGCCATGAGCTTCTCCTGGAGTGGCACGTGGGTCGGGGGCCTGAGGGCATCCTCTTTGGGTCAGAGTGGAGCCCATGTGAGATGCTGGCAACGCAGGAAGAGACTTCACCTGTTAGTCCACTGCACCAGCCCCAACCGTCTGTCCTCAACCATTCCTTTTTCCTTGGCTTGGACGCTACACGGAATGACTGTGCTGTGTAACCTCCGTCATGGCCGATCCCCTCTTCTCTTTGAGCTGCCTATAGAATATACAGCACTGGCGCGGGGGCCTTTGCAGGCTTTTCTGTTTCTTTTTTTTTTTTTTTTGTCCAGGATACGCCTCTACTCCATGTTCAAGTCCAAAGTGCTTTTTAAGATTCAGGTTCAGGCCTGACCTTCACATTAGTCCAGGAAGCCTTTTGTAACCATCCCAGATTAGCTCAGACTTGCCTGCTCTGTTCTATAGAACACCTCACTTAGAGCTTCCTAGCATGTTCTGTCTGCCCGGGCTGGCATCGCGGTGCAGCACGTAAGCCATGACTTGCCACCTCTGCCACAGTGCTGGTTTGAGTCCTGGCTGCTCCGTTTCCAATCCAGCTCATTGCTTATGTGCTTGGGAAAGTAGTGGAAAATGACCCAAGCATTTGGGCCTCGGCCACCCCTGTGGAAGACCTGCATGGAGTTTCAGGTTCCTGGCTTCAGCTTGGACTGTTGTGACAATTTGGGGAGGGAACCAACAAATGGAAGATCTTTTACTTTTTAAAAAGAGGATTTATTTATTTATGTGAGGACAGCAGATTACAGAGAGAAGGAGAGAACAGAAAGATCTTCCATCCTCGGGTTCACTCCCCAAGTGACCACAACAGCTGGAGCTGAGCTGAGTTGAGCTGAGGGCAGGAACCAGGAGCCTCTTCCAGGTCTCCCAGATGGGTGCAGGGTCCCAAGGCTTTGGGCCATCCTCCACTGCTTTCCCAGGCCACAAGCAGGGAGC